AATTTTTCTAATGATTTCCCATTTATAAATATGAAATCTTGCTTTGAATCCACCATAGTTCCTCCATCATCACCATCCATGGCTTCCACTGGTTCTCTGAAATGCTCTCTTCTCTCAGAATCTCCCACCCCACTTCTTCTCTTCCTCTTCTCGTTCCAAAAACCAATTGGGTTGTAATCTATTTCAGTCTTGCCCCAACCAAAGCTTGAAATTCTCAACCAGCCATCAAGTATCTCCATCCTTGAGAAGTTCATACAACTCCAAAATCTCAGCATTTTTCTTCAACAAGCCCAAGGAGCAGCAGCAAGATTCTTCAAAGCCGAGTAAGTTCTTCTCTCTCACCCCTTTGCCTTGGCTAGGATCATCCACTACCTAGAGGATCAAATCTGCATGAAAAAAGTTTCGGAAAACATAGTGTTTGTTCCCTGAGTTATGATGAACTCATGCCAGTATCCCTATAATTTTTCGTTACGGGTAACAAAACACCATTGTCCACACAACTACTTAAATGACACGTCTCACGAAGATCTTAACCAAAAAGTTGACCATAATTATAAGAACTGATTCCTTAATGGAAAAAGAATAGGACCTTGATCCAAATTGGCTAAATTGGACCAAAAACTGTTTTTTTTTTTTTTTGAGAACTTTCTTTCTTCCTTTCTTCTTCTTGGGAGTTTTGATCAACTTATGCCAACGTTCCTATGTAGTTTTTTCATTAAGGAATTAATGCCTGAGTTGTGGTCAACTTTGATCAAAGTCCTCACAGTTCACAAAACATCACTGCCACAAATAACTATACATGGGACATGTCATCCACTCGAGGACCTAATTTAAAGTTGACCATAATTATAAGACTAATTCCTTAAGTAGAAAAAATATAGGACCTTGACCCCAATAGGCTAAAATTGGACCTAAAAACCATGTTTTTTTAAACTTACTACTGGGTAGCACAGCATTCCTGATTGAGTGATGAAGTGAATGATGAATGGTTCAGGCGGCAAGATTCAAGAACTCTCTGTGTATGAGATCAATGAACTGACAGAGCAGCCCAGCATACCTGAGGCTAAGTGGGAAGACAGAGAACTCCTTGGGAGACTTAGTGCCATTCAGCAACAAGCTCTACTCTGGAGACTTGCAGAAGAGGATAGGCATTACATCAGGTCTGTGTGTGCTCATACAACATGTTCCTGACAAGAAAGGAGACAGATATGAGGCCATTTACAGCTTCTACTTTGGGGACTATGGCCATATCTCAATTCAAGGACCTTATCTGACATACCAAGACACAGTTCTGGCTGTGACAGGAGGGTCTGGAATATTTGAAGGAGTTCAGGGACATGTGAAGCTTCACCAGATTGTGTTCCCTTTCAAGCTTTTCTACACTTTCTCTTTGAAGGGCATTTCTGACTTGCCTGATGAGCTTACTGGCAAGGCTGTGATTCCTTCCCCAACTGTTGAGCCTTCTCCATCTGCTAAGGCCACCCTGCCCCATGCTGCTATCCCTAACTTTACCACCTGATTTTATTCTAGTTGACTGGGTCAAATTCAAATATTGTCAGGTATAATTGTGGGTAGCTTTTCCAAAGAAATTTTCTTGCATTCACACGGACTTGAACTTGAGAATTTTCACTTAAGGGATCATAGATTATTGTTATTATTATTGTCTTTATTATTTCCTTTGAGCTTTGAGTCTAATGAAATGATGGTCATTCATTCTAGTATGATAATTTTTCTCCCACTTCATTTCTCGATGCAATTGAGTTTATCTCGATGCAATACGTGGAACTAGAACAGAAAAGGAGAAGCATAAAAGAATACAAACAATATAGTTAATTGTAATTCTTTGACTTATACATATAGAAAAGTTGGAATAGGAGAGAAATGAGAGTGTTGAAATGGATGTGTAGGTATATATGAAAAGATAAAATTCAAAATGAAGATATAAAAAAAAAAGTGTGACATCTATTGAGCAAAAATGATAAAAAATCATTTGCGATAATTTGAATATGTACAAAGAAGGCCATGACAAACACCGTAACGAGAAGAGTGGACAAATAATCTTGAATTATGTAAAGAGGGATAGATATAAAGATCAAAGAAAATATAAATGGAAGTGATTCAATGAGACTTCTTGATCAACAATATTTTTAAAAACTTAATTGATGGTAGAGCATGATGACATCATACATATCTTATCTAGTGAGATAATACTTGTTATTGTTATATATATATTGGTATACATGCATACATAAATACGCACACATATAAAATTAATGTAAAATTTTTAATGAATTATGCTATTCATGCCATGAATATGCGGCTTATTTCTCAAATTCTATACAACGTACCGAAGCAGTGATGAATCGCCCTGGGGGGGGGGTCTCCCTTTCATAATTTGTTATAACTTGTATATTTTTTACTTGTAGAAAGATCAAGAATTTTTATCCCCCACCCCGTTTCTTATTTTCCAATTCTTGCCTCCCAAGTAAGTAATCCTCCTGGATTGGTCCCTTACCGAAGTGATGGTGGCTTGTTATAAGAAGTCAATATTCTGTTTTGTATGCTAGAAATGGTTCATTGAATATTGTTTACAAGTTTTAATAGGAGTCCCAAAATTACATTTATGTTTTCTTAAAACTATTTAAACACTGAATGCAAAATGAATGGGGGATGTCATTTTGTGCATGTTTGGAAATCTGCTAACTTAGTCAAAACATGGCTTTGATCAAAACAACGTGGGAGTAGTTTTGTCTTGAAAGCTGCAAACCCAGGTTTTTAACAAGTTCTCAAAACACTACTTTGATCAAAGTCATGTGAGAGTAACAAGGATGGCATCTTCAAACGTGGAGGTGTGATCCCAAATGGAAATGCTAAATGGATTGCTAGTTTTCTTCTACAATGTTGGCCATTTTCCTCTTGCTATTATTAATTATATGTTTGATTTTCAGTTTATCCAAAGTTCATTTGCTAAAAATTCATTTGACAAAAGTTAGTTATTATAATAAAATTTGTGTTTGAGTATATTTTTTTAAAAGTCAATTTAGTAAATTGAAAGTTGTTTGAATTATAAACAGTAAAATGTGCTTTTGAATATATAATTAATAAAAATAATATTGATTTATGATGATTTATAATTTTTGTTATACAAATGTAATATCTTATAAATATTTAAAAATGTGATAAAAATTTTGAACAACATAAAATTTGATATGTTAAAATAATAATAAAAAAATATAAGTTTGATATGTTGAAAGAAATTATATAATAAATAATTTAACATACATTAATATTAAAAATTAACATGATTAGTTGTTTAATTTATAACATATAATTTGGTTTCGAATTGAATCACGAATTCTATTCATCTTTCTATTAGAAGTCGTACTTAAAATTTTAATAGTAAAATGAAAATAATTATACAAAAATAATCTCAAGAGTAAAAAATATAAAGAATTTTTATGTAACAAAAATATAAAGAATGATTAAAAGTAGAAGAGTCTTAAAAAATTTTGAAATAACATGATCATATTAAAAATTAAAGGGATCACATTTCAAAAGTACATTATAAAAGTTTCTCCCCATAACTTTTACCAAATCTACATTCAACAACATTCACAAAATACTTTTAAAAAGTTGATTTGAAGTAAAATATGATACCAAATGATATTTTACTTTTTAAAAGTAAGAAAGTTCTTTATAAAAGTGGAATGTAAATTACCCAAATGGAGCCTAAGATCATTGCTATAATTCAAGGTTTCAACATCTTCTTAGAGACATTATTGAGTAGGCCGAAGACTGTTTTATAATAGTGTCGTTGAATTTTATGTATAGATAAGCAAATTTTTGTGTCCAACTTCTAACCCAGAATGCTAGTTTAAAAGCAGCTTTTGTGCTTTTGATTAACTACTATATTTTTGTCACAAGGTAATAGATTATATATGAAAAGATTAGGTTTTATGACTGTAATCTGATTACTTTTGTATCCTTTCCAAGG